CTGTTATATAATGATAAGGATACAGAGTACTAAGTAGTATTGCTGACAAGGTCTTTTTAACTTAAAATCTCTAACTAATCTACAATTAATGGATGAATAACACTGAAGTATCATTTAAAAATATTTGTATATGGGTAACTTATCTATACAGTATATGGAGATTCCGTTTAAATTCCTTACTTCTCCAAGGTAATATAAGTAGTTTGAAACTGAAGGGTAAAGTTTCCATGTTTCAGTGCATGGGTCTGTAATGTCCCATCATAATTTGTATTTGTTCATTTTTAGGTAAAACGCACTAAATGATTATTGTACTGCAACTGTGAATGATAATCACATCTGTTTGGTATATCACTGGATTGACCAGCATTTGTTGGTCACATTCATTGAGGTGATTTGCAGTTGCCAGTATTACAATTCTTGCCTTTCTGAGATACAATGGGAAGTTATGTAGAGATTTTTCGTTATGCCTTTTAGTGGCTTAAAATTTCTTTGGAGGGAGAAATAGAAATGACAGGAAGTGTGTTTTCCGATAACTAATACAGAGCACATTGAACACATTAATACTGAACTCTGGGACAGGGCCTGCCACAGGTCAGGAGCTCAGTTCTGTTGACTGAACCCTGAGGTCATGTCAAATGAGACTCATGACCAGTGAAAACAACCTCTCTGCCTTTTCCATTCAGTTAATTATTTGCTAGGCCTTCTTTCATGGAAATGTTGAAGATTAAGGTTTTCTTATTTCTTAAATCCTTACAGGAGAAAGTAGTGAGCAGTGAGAATAACAGAAACTAATAATTGGCAAGAAATGCTAATCTGATTCCTAAGGTAGTTGGGTATTATGGAGATAAATCAAGGTGGGCCCAAAGTAATATTACAAACTTGTGTTTTGATCTTTGTTCTTACAAAAGTGATCTATTGTCCTTGCTTTATCAATGACAGGTATGTAGGGTTCAAATTGTAGAGTTTTCACCTCTTTTCTTTTCTAAATATGTATTTTAAAAGTAACTTTGAAAGCGAAGATTATGAATTTTTTTGTCAAGGATTTATGAACTATAGACTGTTAGAGATAAATGACTCATGAGAGGTCTGTCTGTAGCTTTGATCTCTACTTAATCATTTGATAGAGGCTGAAACTTGGCCAAGGAAAGTGAGGTTAGTTACGTGGCCAGGTGTGTAACCAGGTATCTTGACCCAATTCAGGGTTCTGTTTTCACTACCTAACACTGCCTCTTATTGAATCAGGCTTCAAGTCTGGATATGGGTCAAAGTTTAAGTTGAATTATTTAAGCAACAATAGTTTCACGGTGACTTTAGGGGAGGCGGTTGTAGCTTTTATCAATTTCAAAGGAGTCTATGATTCATTAAAAAGTTTAAAACGTTCTATATATATATGTGTGATCTCCACTGAGGAAGTTGGCATTTTTCTTAATTCTTGTGAATGGTGGGAAAGAATTGGTCAGTGTATTAATCTGAAGAACTGCGTTACTAGAGAGTTAGAGTTCTTCTAACACTTGGGTGTAAGTCTATGTCTTGCTCGTCAGTTGGAAACTAGGAGCCTTTGGGTCCTAAGTGAGTTGTGGTTATAACGAATTCGATGCTCAGATTGTGTTATGTGAGTTAACCTCTTCCTGCCATGTCAGCCCTTCAGTTAGTGTAGAAAATAATGGTTCATTTCGTAGAAACTGCTCATATTTTTAGGGCAAGTATTTTTGCCATTCATGATTGATGGACAATCTATATCATTTTTTGGAAATATTTGACAAGTGTTTTGTTTTGTTTTTTAATCAACCTGGCAGATATTGGGGTAGAGAATGGGGCTTTAGAGCAATTTCCATTTTTCAAAAAGTTGAATGAAAATTGTATAGGTTTTTTATGGCATAAAGCCAAACAGTTGGACTCAAAAATATTCTCTGCTTGTGTCTGTAAATAAACTGATGAGACTTTCAGTTGACTATATGCAAAGCCAAATATACATTGTCTATTTTTTATAAATTAACAGAATTGTAACATCTTGATAGGTACAGTAACTCAGTAATGGGGTCTTTGTAGGAAGGAAATAAAATCTTTAGTTGAGGGAATTTGGGAACTACTCTTTAAACCATTACCTCAGACTTTCCTCAGCAGTTGAGATTGGTAAAATAACTATAAAAGACTCTGTGTTTGCAGGCTAACTTAGAGTGGCTAGGAAGGCCATTGTGGGGTTAAAAGCTGTATCTAAGCCTTTGAGGTGGCCTAGATTTCAATTTAATTTAGCAAATGGTTTTATTGGTTTTATTAACCAATAGAAATAAATGAAACTTTTTTCACTATTAATTTTTTCATCAAAAGAACAGTGAGTTTTAAAAAATGAAATCACTTACTTCTTTACAGTTAGCAAAACTTCACTTGATTTAAAGTGTATCAGTAAAACAGAAGCTATTCCACCAAATTTATTGTAGCAGATGTCGTTTCAGATCTGCGTATTGGACATAGTACCTAGTATGTTTTGCAAAGTACTTGATGACTTTTAAATGTTTTCCTTAATTGTTTTCTTCAGTGAGTATTTTTCCAGTCTTGTTATTCTCTTTGCTTCATGCTGCCACGTATACGAAAAAGGTCCTTGATGTAAGTAAAACTATGCTATGTCTTTGATGCCTGGATTATAAACCTTTGACATGAATTTGATTTCTAAGACATTTTGGCGTTTGTCACAAAAAGTTTCTATTTCTTACAAACTTGTTAAAAATTTTTTAGTGATTTGAAAGTTTTAAGTTTAGAAGTTTTTATTGTTGAAATTTTACAAATGGGTATATTTTGTAGATAAAGTATTGCACTTAAAATTATTCCCGAGTCCCTGGAACAACTTTTGAAGTTTGAAATAGATCTCTTATTTTTTTAAAAAAATTCTTACTTCTTAAATTTGATGAGTTGTCAGAAATCTCTTGTTCTGTCAATGTTTAATTCTAACATACCAGATAATTAGAGTGTGCTGAATCTCTTTTACACTAATGTTTAGAACTACTGCTTTCCCCCCAATTTTTTTTTTTTTTTTTTTTTTTTTTTT